TTCCTTTTATTTTTGTGAAATTCATCTGAAGATTTTTTCTCCTTGCTATCACTACACTTTTTAATTTTATTTAATCGTTTTCTATGAATATCATTTTTCATATGCTTTTCTAAGTATGATTTAAAAATTTTTTTACCACATTCACATTCTATTAATTATTGTTTTATGTCTTTGGTTTTAGTATAATAATATTTTTATAGTATTCACTAGTACAAGTTTTACACCGTAGAAAATATCCATCTTTAAAATTATTATTTTTACTATATTCTTCGAAAGGTTTATTTATTTTACAACAATTACACTGCTTCATTTAATAAGGAAAAAATTTTGTTTAATATTTTGCTTCATAAAAAAAGTCAAGTTGATAAGAACGTAGAAGAAGTTTCTGATTACTTGTTTAATACATCGTCATTTCGCTGAAGACCTGTTTAAAAATATTTAAGAAAAACTTAAAAAAATAATGTTTTTATTTAATAAAAACACTTAATTATTATTTAATTATCATTTTACTTAGTAATTTATTAGTTCATATTCTAATTAAACAAAACACCAAATTTGATTAAAATATTCAAATTACAAGAATAGAGAAATGATACTAAAACAAACCACATTTTCAATATTGATGACAAAAAGTGGTTAGTATAAATACCGTTCAGTTCATATATTATATTGGATGTGTCTGTGCTATAATTTATTGCAGACTGTTGGTGGATGGGCCCTTAAGCTGACAGGAAACAGCATTGTGTAGTGTAATTCTCTCACCGTAGCGGTGGGTGTTGCAGCAATATCTAGACATTCCATTCATAATGAACTTCTCTCTCTTCTCTCGAGAATGCCTGTCTGTATGGACTCCATGTAAAAGCCAGAGTATCTGGAAATATTGTTCTTCTCTGGTATAAGGAATAGCAGACATGGGGACGGGGAAAATAAAAGGAAGAGATGGATGAATGAAATGGTGCACGATGGGATGCTTTGCACTAGTGACCTCACTAGTTGGTGACGTTATCAGTGACGTCATAAAGATATTGATGGATGTTTAGGTAATAATCGGTTCTGATTAGGATCTTCGTATTCATCCGGTTCTGTATAATCTTTTGTCTTAATCATTTATTTGTTAAAAAATTTCAGCTTGTGCTAAATGCTATTTTAGCTTGAGCTAATTTTTTTTAGCTTAGTAAATAGACGAGAAGACAAAAAAACGCATTACTTACTTTAGCTAAGCAGAACAGAGCAATAAGAAAGAAGAATAAAGAACAATTATTTGGTAAAGCA